TACGTGTACGAAGACGAAGAAATGGCGCTGTGTTCTGTCAACTCCAAGTCGTTCATCACGAGTTTATGTTCCTCACTGCTGTTGCCAGCCCGCGGTACGACTACTCCAAGTGCCAAATGTTTGACGGCAAGATCGGCGTGTGACCCTTCGTGTCGGTGTCGCCAGCAGCCCGAACAAGCAAGAACCGGCTCAAGGGCACCATGATCACGGCCCCCATTGCCGTGAATAGCGACGTCTACTTCGAAACAGTGTCAAGAAAGTCGTTCCTGCTATTCAAGAGAATATGCCGTTGCGTGCCAAGAGGCAAGGGGTGTTCGTGCAACAAGACAATGCCAACTCCCCACCGAACAGTCACACCATCGGCGCTGGAAGCTCGAGGCGTCGCAGGCATCAAGATTGCAAACCAACCACGTAATAGTCCAGACTTTAACGTGATAAACTTAGGATTTTTTAACTCTATTCAAAGTCAACAGCATCAAAAGTCTACTAGTTCGATTGAGGAACTAATTGGTGCTGTAGAAAGGCGTTTGATGAGATGCCTGTTGATACGCATTCGAAGACATTCATCACACTTCAAAATGTTTTTGAAAAGTGTATCGAGGTACACTGGCGCATTGACTACAAGCTTTCAAATATCATATGAAGAAAGATTCTATCATAAAGTACTTGTCTTTGTTCAACGTTGAATGTGACCCTTCCAGCATTGAAGAGGCATTGTTTCGAATAGAATACCGCCTTGGCAACGAATCTCACTTGGACGCTATGGATGAATAATTCGGAAGGTCCGACCTCTCTACATCATTGTATCCGACATTTTAGCCTATCATCAGCTGTGAAACTGCGAGGAGCTAATCAAATTGAGTGAAGTGAAACATTTTAACCAATCAAATTGATTTAGGGTTGGGGGAGTACTATACGATGGTAAACTATGCGTATGCGGTCGGAGTTTGAAAATAATTATCGGATATTGGCATTCAAATATGAAGACAACCGCATAATGCAGACATAACGCACGAAGGTCCGACCAAATTCTTTTATATATATTTAAATACATACAAAAACATCCAATGCCTGAATATTTTTATCAACGCAAACATGGAAATTCCAGCACAATAGCTGCCACGAACTGCGAGCATGGATCGCCTGCGC